TATTGTTGCGCAAATATTTAATCGCCAATCAAACGTGAATCGCCTTCAATAAATTGCAACTGATGCAATAACAAAATTCATAAAAATTGTAAAATTAATGGCAGCTAAAATTAAATTGTACAGTCGCCACAATTGTAGCCATCTAACGGCGGTGGCTCTCTAAGTGTTCCCACTTTAGACTAGTGTAGCGAATGGCGTGTAGGAGAAAACTTAGGATTAATTGAATTACTGAATAACTGTGGAGCAGTTAGTAAGTAGAAGAGTGCACACAAAATGGAATAAAGAGTAGACGAAATATAGAAAAATGATGATTTGCTAGTAAATATTTAGTGTGGCTTTAAAAAAAAATCTATAAATACTACAATGTTGGCTGCTTTGTGCCACGTTAAGTCCATATAACTTACATTTTGTTTTTAAATAAAACTTTAGTAGAGTATACGTATACCCATAACGATCACTTTGCCTTAAGGTAGACATATTTAAAATGCATTTGTAATTGTTTAAGTTTTTGTAAAGGGTCCTCATAGAGGAAAATTACATAATTTATATCACATAAATACACCCTATTAATTGAATTAAGTAACTTCACACTCAGTCACAAACACATGTATGCATATATATTTATATATTTATTTGTATATATGTATATATACATCAATTACTTCGAAAAGAAACTGGCAGAGGCTAATAACAAATGTATAAATTTATGCTTTTCTGAATTTATCGACATAAACCGCTTAAATTGTTTAGGAATGCATTTTGTATGCCAAGTAATCTCGGGAGAGAATAAATTCAATAAAATTTCACTTAATGATATTGGAAATTAATGAAATCAAAAATGTGTAATGTTATAAGCTTAAAAAGGGTTTCTAGTTGGCACACAACAATTTCGATCATTTTGGGGCATTCAAAGTTCGAATCATATTTATAACTTGCTTCGTAAGACGTTCGTGTAACTTAAGAATATAATGCTATTATTATTGTATTAAATTGCAGGTTTTACTTAGTACAGTTATAATGATACGATTTTGGTCATATATGCTCCGTCTGGGTCGATAAATTGCTGTCATTTGGTTGGTAATTTCATAAAACCTTTGTGCTTATTGGAAAAAAAAAATCGGAACAGGCGATTTTCATAATTAGCTCTTGAGATGAATTTTGCACCGGCAAAAACATTCGCAATAGATAGAAACAAAACTAATTTAATGATAGGTCCGGACTATATGGTGATCAAGCTTCCGCAGTTTCTGTCAAGTCACTATGGTATTTCCTACTTCACTACTACTAAACCATAAGGGAGCAGCTCATAGTGAATACCACTAAACATATAGGAAAACCTATCGAATCGTCAATCCTTGCTTGGCCGGCTCATAGCGATTAAAACACGACGGTTTTCGCGTGATGTTGTCATAAGTGACCCACTTTCCTCGGCAGTAACCATTCAGAAATGTATCGATTTAGTGTAAATTTTTTACGTTTACTTGTGTGGCATCAATTCAGCTCTTTTTGTATATGAAAACGACGCAATTAAAATTGAAATATTGAAATCCAGAATTACGAGTGAAACATTTCCAATAACCACCTTTTTGTTGCTATTAAATTTAATTCTGAGTAATGATGCCGAGATATTCGGGGTTCGCTTCGAACACGCAGACCCAGCGAAAGGTCCAACTTTTTTTTTAAGATTTGATTTTGACGTATTTCTGTAGCTAAAAACTCAAACCTTCTAAGACGTATCACAAAAATGTGAACGTATGTAAATATAAATACTTTCTTGAATCTAGTCTCATCAAAATAGATTTGCAGTACATCTGAAGTAAGGTAACCTCATTCTCATATTAAACTCATTTCTACATATTTTGGTTGTAGCCTATAAAAAAAAAATCGAATTAGATCGGATTAGAGTTCAAAAGCAGCAGATGGCATGATAAATAGCGCTATTAAATAATATCAAAATTGTATTTGCTCTCCATTAGTCGCTTGTTTAGTAATTTGACTCATTTGATTGGCCATTCGGGTAATACTTAATTTTTTCAGGTTTTTTGGAAGCAACTGTTACCGATTTTCCCCACGATACTAGTTCGTTGCATGCGTGGGCGTCACTTTTTTCGATGACTTTGTGTCCGGTCAATCGGCGATAATGTCTTGCCAATGCAGCCGTGTGGAGCAGATAGCAACAAATGAGCCTAAATATATCCTTTTCAGGGTTTGCGTGTGCGACAGCTGCCAGTGATCGACGTGCAACACTTAAACAAACAAACAACAAAATAACAAAAGGAGAAACAAATACATAACAAGTAAGGAAGGGCTAAGTTCGGATGTAACTGCACATTTCATACTCTTGCAACTTGCTTGGGGACTACTTGGGGAAATACTTTCAGCTGTTGGCAATATTTTATGTTAAGAAATTTAGCAAAAAGGTTCAACTTCATTGTTCGATGGAATGATCATTGAATTGCAATCAAATGTGGTAGCATATTAACTTATTTTGAAGATCATAGACTTACTTAATTTTATTACTATATATTACTTCCTGCTTATACTAAACCGTCTACGAACTCGTCTTCACTTTTTTGCCAAGGAAAAGGTCTTCAACACGTCTCATCTTCCTGATTTATGGGATAATTCGATAATTTTTATGTGATACAAACAACCGTTAGGTAAACAAAACTATTATACCCTGTAGCAACATGTTGCGAGAGTATAAAAAAGTAATAAGCAAACAAACATTTAAGGGCGAAAGCAAATAAAGCAAAGGTTGATCAACCGACACACACACACCTACAAAAGATACATACACACACACACACATATTATGTAAGAATGCTGCATATCTTTCGTATTTACTGGCTTTATATTGCTATTATTTCTTGTGTTTTTGTTGCTGTTGTTGCCATTTTTGTTGTTATTGTGTTGGCTATAACATGTCCAATAACGCTTCAACGGCGTATCATCACAACATTTGTGCTGATTTATGAGTTTCCCATATTTTAGCGCAAGAACGCGTATAAGATGAACATATTAAAGCAACAACAACAGTGAAGGCGAAAATAATAAAAATGATCTGCACCAATTTGCCGCACTTTTTCGTATGCTTTTCTGACGCTTTGCCTCCTTTGCGCGATTAATGAAACACCCGAGTCCCGTAACATTCGCCCAACAACAAATGCAACATTTGCCTGCTCACAACAACTTGCGTAAATCTGTGAATATTTGCACGTTTCGTGGCGCACGGTATATGGGTACATACGTTCGTTTTGGTGTGTGTTTGGGTTGCGATTTTTTCGTTGCCATTTATTGCTTTTCATTTGCTGCTTGTCAGCAACATGTGTTGCGTTTATTAGCTTTTTGGGTGGTAACAATGTTGCCCCACTCTCACAGCAAAGCAATCTTCTGACTACGCTATTGTTGTTGTTGTAGTTGATTTAAGATTCGCTCGCATCAGCTTAAGCAATATGCAACGTGCCGCTGACGCTGTCGGTTTTCATCAAATTACGAAAATATTTTATATTAGTGTCATGCTGTCCCTGTGTGTGTGTGTGTGTGCAACAAATCCGCTAAGTTCTAATATTTTATCATAGAGCTTGTTATGTTTAAATATTTAGTTTAGTTTGCATAGCCACACGTTCTGCTCCCCAGCGATTTTCATACAGATTGCAGGCAGTTGCCGCTGAAGGAGTTGAACTATTGACAGCTCCAAACACAAAAGCACGCGAATTATTGTGTCGGAATATGCGTAAACAGGATTTTAGTATACAAAATCAGTGTTGCCACGTTTTGTTGATAATCTATGTGTAAATATGAATATTTTACTTATTGGTCTCTGCTAAATGTTTGGCTGGGCATCTCTTTCTGTTTTTGAGGAGCGTTTTTTATTTGACGAATTATCTCCATGAAATTTGGCATAGATCATTGTCCAAGACAACGATAATTTCCGAACAAATTATTCAGATCGGATCATTATTTGTTATTTTAATATGTGGTTTTCAAGAAGAAATAAAACGCACATAGTTTCATGTTATGGCCAACAATTTGGCTTTATTATAAAGAAAAGGGTTTGCCGCGGCTGGCTCGACTAAATTCCATCCGAGCGGCCCAACTTTCGACCATTTTTTGCAACGATTGGGGCGCTTCTCTTCCAAGGCCTTAAATGTATCGAGTTTATCTGCTACTTCACATAACCCCACCAAAAAGGGTTCAGCGGTGTTAAATACGCAAGATGTTAAAGACCACGCCACAAACTCACGACATGAGGTAATGCGCTCACCAAAAGCTTCCTACAATAAATTGATTGCTTCGTTGGCTGTATGGCATGTAGCGCCGTCTTGTTGGAACCAAAGCTCGTCCACATCAACATGCTTCAACTTAGTAACGAAAAAGTCAATTAACATGGCTCTATGACAATTTTTTTTGTATAAATCGGAATCGATAGCCATCTCTTGTTCATTATTAGCTTCAGATAGTACAACGCTGCCTGTCTGTCAATCGATATTAGCTCAGGAACTCGTGTTTCTCACTAAGAAAAATTTCTGAAAGCTTTGAGAGTAACTTTAATGTAAGGCTGGGCAAAAAGTGATAATGCTCTCGCGGTTTTATTGTTGAAAGCAGTGCAAAAAGCTAGTATAGTATAGCTCTATGTTTTGAAATTAATAATTTATTATTACAGACATTATATGTCGATGTGACATGTACCGTTATAAATGCAAAACTTTTTCCTTCAAAATTATGTTTAGAAACTCTTTTTTTTTTTTTTTTTTTTGCATAGCAATCAATATCTTAGACTCAGCAGGCAGCAAGGAAGTTCTGAATCTCACATTAATATCAAAGTCTGCGAGTATAAAACCAGTTTGAATTCCACCGAATCTTTCCTCTTTAACTTTCTACCTGATTATATTCATAAGAGCTCGCTTCTGTCAGATACTCAATTTCAGCACTTCATTATTTGTTTTGAACGATTCAATTAAAGTAATTGCTGAGCATGCAGTCTACTCTGAAATTTCCTTCTCTAAAGTTCTACCTAGTATATAAATGAGTATGTAGCTCAGCTTTGGAAGAAGCACACGTGACAACAATGTTGCGCTAATTTGGCGACCGGAACTGAAATTACAGAAAATGGTTGGAAAAATCTCATGCTCATCATTGAAGTCAAACAAACGACAGCGGCAAGGTTATCCAATTGTTGAAGTCAAACCATATGCCCATCCATAACTGGCATGTGGCAGAGTGAAGGGTTTGCTAAGTCGTGTGTAAATAGCGAGGGTGTGTACTTATGGTGGCTTAAAAATGGTGTCCGACAATTCCTAGCTATGCTCAACATGACACTTGCCTACACCAACAAATTAACCAGTTATTTGTGTTTGTTCAATCAAGCGGTTGATTACCGCCACATGAGGCAAGTAATCGGAAGACTTTAAAAAAAAGGAGTAGTGCAAATATTTGCAAATATTATATATTATTAAAAGTAAGCATTTTTTCAAAAGGTCCGAATAAGCAAGATTCTTGTTGGTAATGTATGGAAGCATGGAGTAGTCCTGTTCGACCGATTTTGTTTAAACCAACAAATCATCGCTTTTATCAAGTCACTGAGGGTAAGTGATAGTGTCATTTGCTGATCCCCAAGATGGGCAGCTCAATTGAACTTCTGGAGATACATGCTTTGGAATTCCAGAACACGCCTGTAGTTTGATCCTTGCCTCAAATCATTACAAGCCTGCTAATGTGTTTTATTTCTCTTTCCGCTAAATCATCTGGTTGGCTGAAGATGTAAGTACGAAGGCATTTCAGCCTTAGATTCAAAAGCGGGACAGTCAAGAAAGTAGTTTTGGCATGATTATAACTCGTCTAGACGGCTATTGGACAGTGACTAGTTGAAAACTTTATAATTGGGGAAAGGCGAATCTTGCTGTGGGTGAAAAGCGTACTAAACAAATTGCGCTCGCCAAGTCCACTTGTGATGCAGTTATTCAATACTAAAACACAACTTTGGACTTCCAGTGAGACTTATGAATTTCATTGAAAGGAATAGTACTCAAGAAGCCTAAGCAATATCTTTGATGTAACCTACACGCACCAATTTGAAAACGCTCAGGATCCTCAGGTGAATTTTTAGCATACTCAAGCTGCAACCAATGACTGATTTCGAGTTTATCAGAATTTTTTACTCGAAGTGAAACGAGTTTCCCTTATACGCGTCTGAGTAAACATCCTTGCAGTAAACCGATTGCTTCGCGATAAGTTTAAAAATTTCGTTTTTCCGGCTTCTATTTTTATAAGCACTTCCGCTGAGTTGTGCAGTGCCACATTTTCTTCGGTTTCCTTTCCTTCTGCGGCAGCATGTTTTTTGTGCAAACTTGTATCCTTTGACGACCTTCGTCAGTTTTAGACAAAACACAAACAGCGCTGAAAATCTAAGAAAAACAAAAACTTACGCTGCGTATTTGCTTTGTAAATACATGTGCATATGTAAGTAGTAGCGTCAACATTTACATACAAACATACGATTTATTTACGCTAGTAAAAACGCGTTGAGTGTGTGCGTGCGCTTGGCGAATGTCCTTAAGTGTTTTGTTTGCCTTCATTACGCAGTGTTATGATTTGTTGTTTTAGGTGTTGTCTCGCTTAATTTTTCACATACCACATACCACAAACTAGAACAACACCAACAACATACTAGAGAACTCAAATAAAAAAACGCAAAAAAAACAACTGTGTACATGTATGCCCATTTTTCCAGCTATTTGCCGTCACACAAACGTCCGCTTTGCGCAAACAACTGAGGGTCTTCCGCCCCCCACTGTTAATATTTTGTTTTTCTAATTTGTCTGCTTTGCTGGCGCGTTTGCTGTTGTTGTAGTGTGTGACATCCTTGTAAACTAACCTCATTCCGAGTGCGTTTGTTGTTTCAGGGGCGGCTATCCGGTATCCTTACAGCAAATGGGCAATCTCTTGTACCAACAGTTACTTGGCTGAGCGTGTGGGTGTTTCCTCTGTACATATGTATGTACACTGTGCATATAAATATATCTAAAATGTTGTGCGCATATGATAGCGTCAATATTTGATCAATTTACGCATTGTTCTTATATTTTACTTTGTGGACTAAAGCATTTTCGTAACATTCAATTGTATGAAGCATAAATCATGTTGTTATTGGAATATTCAGTATTTCCGAAGATTTTGAATATTTATTCAGGTTTAGTTAGTAACGGTATGTTCTATATTAACCGTAGCCTTATGTTTTTGTTCCAGTGAAGAAGAGAATGAATCTTGTGGTCTAACTAGCCCAACTGGAAAGTTTTATTGCTGAGTACGGAGATTGTTTAATTAATTTTAGGCTCATACATTATATTTTTCTGCATACCTACACAGGAAGAACCCGTAAAAATTACCGGTATTATTTAAAACAAATGAAGTGTTATAAATTTTGAAGCCACCATAGATATCAGGCAGCAACCTCCTGATAACTCCGTAATTTTGAAGGTTTTGACTTATGGAGCGTAGCTAGAAGAAATTCGAAGGTATCGTCCGCAGAGAAACAGCTGAAAGAATTCCGCAAAAAAAAAATGCAAATTCCTATATTTTATTTCATCACCCGTTAATGCCACACATCATCGAATCCTTGCTAAATGGAAATGTATTGAGCAATCTTGGTTTCAGTAGAATAGCAGAGCGCTTCGCTCAATACAATTGGCAGCCTCGCATCAGCGATTTGAAGGCTTCGATTTGGGTGTCGCGAAATTGGATAAAAATAGAACAGTCTGTGAACAATTCAGCACCTTAAAAGGGTATTCTAGTAGAGACATGAATTTTAGGTAATTCTTAAAGTGCCGTAAAAAAAAGGCAATCAATATTTTTACTATCGAGTTCAGTTATTTATTAATGTTACAAGAGTAAAGAAATAAAAAAATAATTTAAAAAAGTGGCAGCTGATGAAATGGGTTTCAAAAAATGAGAATTAGGGTGGTGCGAAAAAAAAATTAATCTCACTTTTAAAGTTAAGTTTCAAGTTAAAATTTTTATTTCGCAAAAAAATTTTGATGAGTTTTCTAGAAGCTGTGGGAAGTACTTAAAATTTAAAATAAAATAAAATTTTTTATGGTCATTATTGGAGTTTTAAAGAAAAGCCTTTAACAACAACATACTTTCCTTTAGCGTTAAAATAAATTTTGAGTCAAGAACCTTAAATTTGTATAAAAATGGGAGGAGTTTAAACCAAAAAACTCGAAATTTACTTTGAAAGTGAGTGGACTGTCTCTAGAGGTTAAAAAAATTATTTTTTTTTCAAAAATTTTCGCCTCAGGCTAAGCAAAAAAAAAATTTTTGCGTTTTGAAAAATTCTGGTCTAAAAAAATGCATTTAAAGATTCGCGTAAAGTCATTTGTTCGATTAGACCCAGCCGACACAGTTTGGTGGTCGAGTTAGTAAAATGTCCATATCTTCGAAAATAATTTAAGTTTTCAAAAATCCTCTTGTAGACATATTCTTAAATAGTTAAACTTTGAAAATAAAAAAAAAAATCAATTTTTTTGAAATTCTACACTAAATTACTAATAAGGCGAAGTTTCAGCAGATAAGCTCGTCTACAAAGGTCAGCAAGGTAAGGAAAACCTGACTTAAAAGTTCAACAATCAATCCTGCTGAGGCCAGATATTGGAATCGGTTTACAAAAATAATATATATTACACTATGGTTTCGCTTGAATCCCTATAAATATTACACTCTGAACAAATTTCGATCATAACTGATTTGAAAATATTCCAAAGTAATAGTATAAAACTCTCCGCATATCAACTGAATTTACAAAAAGTGACTCATTTAAAGCCCGAGAAAACTTGGTTCTATTAGAGTTATGTAAGAACTTTATACAATTACAATTTACTTATAAATTAAAAGTGTTATTTTGATTTTTATGTGTTCGCTGTAACAGCTGCTGCAGCGGCATTAAACAATGCAGTAAAAGTGGATTGCACAAATACTAAGAGTCCTTGCCAAAAGGACACTTATGCTAAAGTGTCGCCTGGACAAGCGGAAACAACCAACAACTTGACTAAATTACGCGCAAAATTTCATTTAACTCTTTGCGTCCAAAAAACTTCTCGTCTGCTCTTTTTTCACAAACTTACTTTTGTTGATATCTGCGCTTTTCGCATTCAACAACAGAACTTTCACAATACAACAAACAGCTGTGCGGCAGTTTCCTTCAGAAGAGCAGTAGAGTTGGCACCGAGCAGCGCCGAGCGAGTTTTGTTGGCGCGCAATGCAACAGTGTTGCCATTCTTGGCGGCTATTACTTACAATATTGTTGTTATACTCCTTTTATGTTTGTTATTGTTGATGTGCGCTATTGTTGTTGCTATGCCATTGTTGCCGAGCCAAGTTGACTATCTTTTGCTGGCGCGAACGCAACAGAATGGAACTAATGATGCAACTAATTGTTATCCTTGCGCGCCACTGAAGGCGGGTGGCGTTGGCAAGTGGGCGTGGCGTCACGCTGACTACACCAGCAGCACTTTAATTAGCTGCCTCGCAATTGCACACACAAAGAAATACATATTTACTAAACGCATGTAGGGCCGTGGCAGGCTACTTCTTGTAGTTTGCAACTGGCACCGCGGCGCTGGCAAACCATCCTGCCACGTCATCAGCAGGCTTCTAATTAGCGCAACATTCTCGTCTTCTATTACACTTGCCACGATTATTTCACTATTTACTCTTCTCGCTACTAGCTACCTTCGCCGACTGCCCCCTGCCACGCCTCGTTGTACTTCTGCGTCCGGCTGTCGCCTGAATGCCAAACGAGCTGCGTCTGTTGTAATTTTTGTTGATTGCTGTTTGGGCAGCAGTTCTTCTTATTTGCTCCCACTTATTGTTGCTTTTTGTTGTTGATACGGATTTCTCTTTGTTTCTGCGTAATTTTAGCGAGTATTTGTTTTGTTTCCAACAGCGATTTCTAAAGTTTAGCTGAAGATTTAGCTTTGGCAGGTAGAGTGGTGAAAAATAAATAGTGTTATCGATAGTAGGAGTGATGACACATCCATTTATAAAGTTGTTTCGCATTTAGGTCAGCACTTGGATCAAATAAATTCAAAACTTGGACGGAATGCTGAAAATTGTGGTTTAATACCAATAGGATTTTAGTTTCCGAAGTTCTGCAACATCACAGATAAGTATCGCAACTCGTTGTAGGAGCTGACCTCGGTTCGATGGTAATTTTTGAGTTCGCTGTCGCACCAATAACTACGGTTTTATCAGTGTTACTGTATAGCAGCAGGAAGCACTCTCCAAATAATTTCAAGGAATGCTACAGTTTTTGTCGGATAGCTTTTCTGTGAGGCGTTGGAAATTGGTGAACATTTTTAGCACTTCGTTAACAAACTGAAGCCTTCGAGCATGACTTTGAGTTATTAATTTTCGTTGTATCTGAATTATCTGCAGTTTCAAACATAAGTCTTTGTGAAGAATGTTTTCGATTTTAAGAAGCCGAATCCTAGTTCACCGAACAATAAAATATATGCATAGATATAAGTATCGCCTCATAATAATGTTAGAAACCCAAAATTTTTGTATTCCCTTGGTTCCAGTGGCTGATCTAAAGGTGTACCTACGAAAAACGGAGTGTGTCTTTGACGGATCAACTTCTCAAATGAATATTAGATAAGAAAATCAATTTTTTGGAATTCAAAAGTGGATAAAACCCCTTAGATGAACTGTGAGAGCATTTACCCTTACGTCTACTTACTCGGATATAACTGGAAGCTTCAGGCAAAATCTCATAAGATCATATAGAGAGATTTCGATGATTATTGCTCTCTTACTTATTTTCATATACAGCTTCTAGAAGTCTCTAAAATAAATAATATGGAGAAAGTAATTTATTTTATTTTACATTTTTACTTTAATAAATTCTCCGCGCTATCTCATTTGCGCTTCCATAATCATTTTCTCGCCCACTCGGCGCACTTCACCGCCTCGCCACAATTCATACACCCCCGCGTAGAGATATTAACAGCAAAGTGTTACATTAAGACAATTGCATCATGGAAAAACACATTTGTCTGCAATACAATTTCTTAATTTAAGACAAAACAAATTTATTTGCCGCAAAGCGAGCAGAAGCATACGGCGCAAAGCCGTGGCAAGTGTGCAAAAACAAAGCCGCTACAGCCAATTGGGGGACAATGGGCCAGAGTTGCCGTCGCGCTGTTAGGGGACGCAGTGTCCGAAATAGCGCGCATTAAAAGCGAAAGCTGGAACAGATTTTTATTTCGTTTATCTTCACGAAGGCATAAACATAAAAACGAAAGTAAAAGTAAATACGTGAATGTGAGATAGCGAGTGTGGCAACGAAATTGCGGCTGAGTGCGAATAAATGGATTTTGTGCACACTGTTTTGCTTTCATTGGTTTTTTTTATTTCTGCAAGGTTCTTTGCCACATTTTGGTTTTTTCGTTAGTTGACCCGCCACGCCATGGAATGGCTAATGGGAGGAGCGCTACTACAGATTTATGCGAGGAAAAGTGTAGGCCGGGCAATCGTAAATATAGCAAATACATATTACACACACATACCATACACACACTTTTAATACATATAAATAATGTTTGTGTGTAGGTTTTGCTAGTTGCAACATTCGTTTTTCGGCTAGTTGATTGCTCTGCTTCCGTTTGCGGCCATGTTCGTTTTATGTGCGAAAGCGTGTATTTTTATGACGCTCGCACTGTTCTGACATTTTGTGCCTTCAACAAGTTGAATGAGGCCAAAAACTGTAATATTGAGGTCTCGTAAAGAGCATGCTCTAAGAATTATCTTGCAAGGCTCTTAAACATTTACTTACTATAAATATGTCTGTTTGTGGAAGGCGACTGACTAAAGTTCGACTGCCTGGTGAATTTTCGGGAAGGCGAGTTAATAGAGATTAAATAACCTTAAAAATAAATTTGAAAAAATTAGCCATATATTTGTAGCTGGTTTTAAGGACCAATCCTTAGCTTAATGGACCTTCCCGTAGGTGTTAAGTTTTATTCGCAATATAATGCAGTTTTATAATAATTCTGATGTAACCCTAGGATTTATCTTAATATTTGGGAATTGCAAAGAAATTAATAAAATTTTACCATCAGAGATTTGAGGACTACTGTCTTAGTCGGTAAGTCAAATGTAATAAAATTTGACTCAAATGATATTTTCGTGAAAAAAGTAGTCGCAAGAATAATTATATGCATTTTGGTGTTAAAATAAAATTCATAAACTTTTTCATATTTCCAAATAATAAAAATAATTTTTCTTCAAACTTTCACTAAAATCGCTTTCACTCTGTATTTAATTTTATATTATTATATTTTCTTAGTTTTAATATTCAGTTTAACATTTTAAAGCATTCAACGCAATCATATAAATATAAACGGTTTATGCAACAAACAACAAACAAGTTAAAATTCTATGTCCGTTATTATATTTTCATGAGCTTTTTTAAGCTTTCGCTATTTCTTAAATGTTGCTTTTTGCCTTATCTTTTGGCCACGCTGATTGCAAATTGTTTGTCGAATTGAGAACGAAAGTCCGTTCCGTGCCACACTCTTGACAATGCCGCAGCAAAACACTCTGCTGCACCAAATCGCTTGGCTATAGACAGGCATATTGCAACACAGGATATACATATGTATGTAGCATGTTTTATTGTAGCATAGCTTGCGGCGTTGCACTCGCCAGCTTTTTTATGAATTTCTTCTGCCGTCCACTTCCTTGTGGCACTTACTTTTTGGTATTATTTTCAAATTTTCATTTAGCCTCCATTTGTTTGACAACATTTTCGGTATGAAAAGCCTTGAAAGGAAACCAAATTAATAAAAGCTTAGTCAAGTAGAAAAGGATAATTTGGCGAAAGCTTGTTTGAATTTCTTTTCGTTGATCTTAGCTAAAGACGA